ATAAAAAAAGGTTTTTTAAATTAAAAAGAAATAATTAAAAAAGAAATTAGTATCTTTTTTATTATTATTTATTAAAGATAATAAGAAAATCCTAGTTATATTAATAAAATTTAGCTTTTTATAAAATTATTATTTTTATAATAAAGAATATAGATAAAAATATATAATTATTACTTTAGTTTAGCTATATATTTTAATTATATTATATAAAATATTAGAAAAACTATATATTAATTATTAATTAAAATATTAAGAATAAATATATTATTTTTATTTTATTAATTCTTTTAGATTAAGTTATTTTTAGATTTATAAATAAAATATAGCTCAAAGAGCTATTAATAAAATTAAAAATAAATAAATAGTTAAAAAGATTATAAATAATCAGATTATTAGAATAGAATATATTAAATAGATTAAATAAATTAAATAAATTAAATAAATTAAATAAATTAAATAAATTAAATAAATTAAATAAATTAAATAAATTAAATAAATTAAATAAATAGAATAAATAAATAAAATAAATAAAATATATTAGATTTATATTATAATATTATAGCTTTTATAAAAGATTTTATAAAACTCTTTTATAAATTCTTTTTATAAATATCTACTTTCTATTCTAGTCTATTATATTTTAAATAGTTTTATTTAAAAGAAGAGATTATTTTATAACTCTAGACTTTAAATATAAATTTCTATTTATTAAATTTACTAAAGTAAATAAGATATAATAAATATCTTAGTTATATATTAAAATATAATAAATTATATTTATAGAAAATTATATTTTAAAATAAAATAAATTATCTTTACAGAGAGAACTCTATTTTTATTTTTTTATATTTATTATTTACAGAACAGCTTCAGAATTATAAATTAATTATAATTATTTAATTTATTTTTAAAAATATTATTAAATTTTTTTTTTATTTCTTAGATCTTTATAAATTATAATAATATTTAAATTAAAATAAGCTTTTTAAGTCAGATCTTTTCTTTTTTCTTAAATCTTAAGATTATATATATTATAAAGAATTAAAAAATTATTTTATATTTAGTTTTTTAAAAAAAGCTCTCTATTTTCTAAAATTAATAATAAAAAATAATCTTTTTTAAAGACTATATATAAATTCAAAAACTATTATTTTATTTTAATTAGAAAAAGTTATTAATAATATAAAATAATTTTTAAAAAAATATATTATTTTTTAATAAAAGTTTTTATATTTATTATATTATATATTTTTATATCTTATAATACTCAGAAATTAAAAACTCAGAAACTAGTTTTATAAGTTATTATTTTTATAAAAATTATAAAAAAAAATATTATTAATTATATTTAAATAAATAATTAATTAGATACTAAGTAAAAAATTATTATTAATATTTATTTATTTTTTTAAAATAAATCTTTTCTAATTATTATTTTTCTCTAGATCTTTATAATTTATAATAAACAGAATTTCTAGAATTAAGTTTTATATTTTATAATTATTTATTATCTATTATTTTTATTAAATATATTTAATTTAAATAGATAATTAATCTTACTGCTTTATCTTTTTATTAAAAACTAAGTTTTTTTAATTAAATATAACTTAAAAAATATTTTATAAAACTATTTAAAGAGATATATATATAGCTATTATTAAAATTTCTAAATATTAAATAAATATTAATTATAATAAACTACTGAATTAATTTTAATTAAAAAATATTTTTTAATTTAACTAGATATTTCTTAATAAAAGATATAGATTATTATAAGATTTTACTAGATTTTTAATTAATATTTAAATCTTATATTAATAAGAATCTAACTATAATTATTTTATTAGTTTTATATAAATATAATCTTGTCTATTAGTTATTAAATATAATAATAATAATACTAGTAATAATAATATAATATTTAATATAATTATAACTAAATTTTAAACTTAACTTAATTAAAATATTTAGTTTTATAATATTCTAATTAATTTTAATTTTTTAAAAATTATTTAAAGCTAGTATTATATTCTCTGTCTTATTTATATAATTTATTTTATAATTAATACTCTTCTATAGAAACTTTAAATTAAGATTTTAAATAATATTATTAAATATATATAAAAAAATAATAATAAAACTTTTAAAATCTTTTTTAATATTTTAAGAATTTTTAAAAAAATATATTCTAGAAGCTATTTATAAAAAATAAATATAAAATTTTTTTTTATAAAAACTTTTTAGAAATCTTCTATTAACTAGTTTATTATATTAATTTTTAATTATAAATTTAGAAAATTATATAATTTATAAATATAAATTCTTAATATTATAAAAAGTTTTTATTTATTTAATAATTTAAATCTGACTTAGTTTATTATCTTTTTTTTAATTATAAAATCTACTAAAACTTAATCTATTTTATAATTTATTAAATATTTAATTTTTATTAAATAATTAAAAGTTTTATTTAGTATTATAAATATAATAATATTAATTATTTTTATTTTATTATAATTAAATAAAAATAAATAAAATATCTTCTTAAGTTTTTATATCTTTTTTTTTATTTTTTATTTTTTTAAAAATACTAGATTTATTATTTATAAGATCTATAATATTTATAATAATCTTTTTAATTATTTAAATTACTTTATTAATAAATCAGAAAGAAAGCAGATATTCTAAAAAAAAAGATTCTTAAAAATTTATATAATATATATTAAAAACTCTAAAAATATTATTATTATATTTTTTAAATAGAAGATTATATCTATATAATTATAATTATTTTAAATTTAATTTTAAAGCTTAAAAAAATTAAAAAAAATATATAATTAAATAATAATATTAACTAATATTATAAATATTAAATTATTTTTAAAAAAATATTCTTTTTTTATTATAGTCAGAATCTGATAATTAATATATTATTAATAATTTATAAATTATTATTAGATCTAAATAAGATTTTTTATAATATTTTTAAATATCAGAAACACTTATCTGTAGCTAAGATATATAAAAAATTTAAAATATATTTAAATATTAAAAATATATAGCTGTTTAAAATATCTTTAATTAAATTAATATAATTTCAGATATTATAAAATATATTAATATTTTTATTTACTAAAAGTTCTGTTATAATTAGTTTTCTATTTTTTATTAAATAATAAAAAAAATTTTTTAATTATAATTAATAATATCAGTATTTAATATTTTTTAATAATTCTTAAAATATTTATTATTATTATTAAAGCCATTTTTATCTTAATATAATTAAAATAATTATACTTTAAATATATATTAATTATTTTATTATAAATAAGAAATATTAGAATATATTTAATAATTTTAATCTAGATTTAATTATCTTTATATTTAAGAAATAAAAAAAGAATAAGATAATTATTATCTTTTATATTAATAAGAATAAAAATATAAATAATCTTAAATAGAGTGGATTTTGGTTGAAAAACAGGTTAAAAACCAAGCTTTTAAAATCTATATTTAAATAAATATTTTACTGTATATTAATATTTTTAAAATATAATTAAACTTAAATCTTATTTATATTTATATTTTATATTCTAAATATAGTTTAATATAATTAAATTATATTTAATATATAACTAATCAGTTTCAGAATATTTTAATTAATTAATTTTTAATTATTAGATAATATAATATATTAATAGTATATTAGATAATAAAAATATATATAAAACTATATAAAGATTTATATAATATTTTATCTTTATATCTATATCTATATTTTTTAACTGTTTTGCTTAAAACAGTTAACTGTCAGGTTAAAAAAATCCACTCTAATCTTAAAAATAATCTAGAGAATAAATTATTATTAAAATTAAAGAAACTAGTATTATTTAAGTCTTTAATTATTATATATATTTAGATAAAGATAAAGATCTGATTTTTATAATTTTTATATTATTATAATTATTATTCTAAATAATATAAAAAATAAATATTTTATATCTTTTTTTATTTTTTCTATACTAGATTCTATAAAAGCTTTTTTTAAAATATTTTTTTAAAATAATTAGTTAAATAGATTAAACAGTAAACTATATCTAAAAAATATTATTATATTTATATTATAATTAAATATATATTATATTTTATATATTATTTATATAAGAAAAATATATATATTATAAATTAATCTATAATTATTAATATATCTGCTATATCTAATTTTTCTAACTAATAAATATAAATAATTATAATAATAATTATATCTTAATCTAATCTTAACTATATACTTAAAAATTTTTTATATCTTAATCTAATTATCAGATTATGTCCAGATTAAGATTAAGATATAATAATCAGATTAAGCCACTCTATTAGTATCTGTTTAATAATTTATTTATAGATATATAATATTCATATAAAATATTAAATTAATAAAAAATTTTATAAATTCTAATATAATTTGATAAATTAATAAGTCTGGATTTATAATTAATAAAATAGATTCTATAAAAATATAAAGAATTTCAAATATTTTGTTTATATATAATTTAAGATATAAAAATAGAATATTAATAATAATTAAAAATAATATTTTTTAAAACTATAATATTAATAATATAAATACTTATTCTATCTGTAAATCTACTTGCATCATATGAAATACTAATTAAAAAAGATGGATATCCAGGAGTACAGTCCTCTAATCTCAGGTTCCTCTTACTAGAAAACGAGCCATGCCAGGGAAGAGAAGGAGGGCAGAGAAGGAACAGATCGCAGTCATGTAATTAGTCGTATAATAAGGTTGATTCTATTGTCAAGGGCTGCAATGCGGGGAGTAACGATTTGATGCACTGCCAGCAGCATAAGAGCATCTACCCTTTCGATTTCAGTCTAAGGAGTACATCTGTCCTCGCGTGTAGAACTGGACTCAGCAATCAACCCGTATGCCTAGATGTACGAATTGCTTTCGTACCACTGTACAGATGTATGCTACTTTTATTGGGAACACGCTGAAATTCTTACAAAGAGAAAACGCGCCGAATTATAGAACATTCAGCACACTCTGCAGTGCAGCTGTATTAGAATCCTCCCTCCGAGAAACATAAGCCCTAACTTCCTGTACACTCAGACCAGCCTCGGCTTGAATAGCGCCCTCAAGCCCTCGCCCAGTGCTGGATCCGGCATTGTTGCCTGTCCTTCCAGTAGTGTCGATGGCTGTACCGCCACGTATCCTCTCACGCAGGGCCTCGGAACCAATAACAAACAGATTTCCAACCTCCAGTAGAACGTCCAACGTACCACTTGGACCTTTGATTTGTTCTTCTATGTCCCAAGATTTGAGGAGACCCGTATACTGCGTCATATCTTTGGTAACCATAAGGCCACCGGGTCCGTTGACGACAAACCGTTTGAAATGCTCCAAAAGTAGACTACGCGTCCCGAGAGCAATTTCTGTCAAGAGCTGGCGAATATTGGAGCCGCTTGGGGGCAGTGATGTTTTTACCATGTTATTTGCACGGGTAAGAAACGTACATATTGAAGCACATGTCTGAGTCATTAGAATAACTGAAGCATCATAGAGGTAAGAAGCGGGCTCATGGCTCACCGGTGTTTGTAGCTTTTCTAACCAGGCTGTGTTATCTCCTTCCTTCGGCCTGAAATCATTCTTTTTTTGGCCGGACAGAAGTTTGCCCACCCAAGTCAGCGTTGTATCTATGACCTTTTGCTCAAGAGTGTTGATCTTGTCCTCTATCTGTGTAGTAATGAGACTGGTCTTCTTTTCCATTTCTTTGCGGACCGTGATACTGCTAGCGGCGAGGGGGATAAGCAGTGTGTTTATGCACATTATCATCAAATTCGCAATGCCAATAGCATTTCGAATAGATGGTAGATATGCAAAGTCGGGTTCCGCTCTTCCTGACTCCTGCGATATTGCGACTTCTAGAGCTGCATCTAATGACACTTCAATGAAGCCTTCTGCCATTACGGAGAGGAGAAGGCCCAAAAGTGCAAGCATATCCTTAGGTGTTTCACTGTTCATGCTGAGCTCCAGGCCTCTACCAACTGCCTCGGCAAGCCATTTGAGCATTCGTTTTGCATAAGTTAAGCTGGGGATGCCATCATCCTCCGTAAGTTTGATATCAGTAGGCCTTGTAAGGTCGCTGGACTCCCTGAGTCCGGCCAGCTGGAGTAGCACTCTTTTCTGCGTTGAAGGGAATTCTGAAGACTCCAAGCGACTCAGATACGCATCGCGTGCAGAAGAAAGCAATTCCGTCCCGGATTTAGAGAGCGATGCCATGAAAGTTGTCGCCGCTTTCTTTCTGCGAGCATGAAATGTGGTAAACCTGAATAACAACGATGCGAACAACTCTTCCAAGGCCCTTTTTTCCCTTTCTATGTATGATGATCCAACAAAATATGGCACGAACAAGTCCTCCAGCTGCTGGTCAAGAACCAGTGCAGTCTGCGAAGAAATTGGATCTGGGTGCTCAGTCAATCCATGACTCTTCAGATCGTCAACCAGCGTACTGATATAGCTCCGGGAGCTCTGCAGAGATCGCAGAAAAGCTAGCGATGAGACACTGTTTGCTTTCTCCAGGACCATCTCAAGTCTCTGTTGAATGGATTGTTGGAACACACGTTGTAGGAATTTGCCAAGCACCTGCTCGTAATAAGGAAAAGCTCGCCTTATAATAGCCGATTCCTCTTGGACTACAACCTTGACTTCGTCCACAAGTGATTGAAGGCTAGGTTCAACTTTCAAAGGTTCTGCATCGGGGTCTGCTAGCATTTCCCAGGCTTCTGGGTCGCCACCGACTTCTTCTGCGACCAACTGGCTCCGATCGATGAAAAACTGGTGCTGATTCACAAACAAAGCAATGACACTTGCACCGCCATTGAAATCTTGGAGTACTGTTGCGCAGTCTTTCATGCCTTCAAAGTTTGCTTTGCGATAAAAGTCATCAAATTGCTTTAACAAGTCATTCTCCAATGTCTCGGAGAATTTTTCGATGATCTCGCGGGTATTTCGTTTAATATTGTTGCCTTTTCCATTCGCATACTGATCGGTACTTATGGTTCCGTTCTGGGAGAGCCCATTACCCCTCCCACCTGGTTCATTCCAACTTTGAGTGTCAAGCCTTTGACTAATTCGCAACAATTGCCGCGCAATATGTGCTGAGCGCACTTTGGCCTCGCCAGTTCCGGATCTTCTCAGATTCTCTAAGAGAGTAATGTCGCCCCTATTGTTCACACCATCCCAGCACTCGAGCAGAAAGTGGGCGTCAAGCGCGCGGCGTCTTTGTCGGTCTAGTTCCTCTAATCTTCTACCGGTTTCAACGGCCATATTTCCAGTCGCAAGCTCCCCCCCAGACGCCCCCGCGCCATTGAGCGATGTGTCGAGCTGCTGGAAAGATTCAATAGTCTGCTTTAGCTTTTTACCGAGCGTGTTGAGGTTCTGGGTGTGCTGTGCCTCCGCTCTGCGGACTGCCGCCGAGTGTTCATTTTCTCTAATCTCCAAATCACCAGATATTTCACCTAATCGTCGCTGCGCGTGCTCAAAGGTCCGGATAAGCGGTTTCGGGTCAAACGGCTGGTTCACGCCCGTGGGGCCGATTGAAGAACGACGGTTCGAAATGGAAGAATCAGAAAGTGTTTCAATGAACTCTTTAACAATAAAATCGCGACTAGAGAAGTCCTCGAGGGTGAAACTGGGGCCTTTCGGAAACACTGATCGAGGCGTAGCGTTGAGAATGGTAGTCATTGGCACATCGTCCGGCATCTTGAAGCTGTTAGCTGGACTTCTCCTGTATGAGCATTAGCTCGGAATGTCACTCAAGACACAGCATCGACATGTACAAATGTCAGTCGATTCTCTTAGAGGTGTCTTGAAAGGGAATAAAAAGGTAGAGGTGGAATGGACAGCTTCCTTCCACATGCGATTACCTAAACATGATACAGCCGATGCGGACATATAACACGGTGAACACAGGTCACAGCAGCACTTTTTTAGGATAATATAGAATACTCATCGTGTATATAATATTAGGATTATTAATAAATAATTTTTATTCTATATTATTTTATAAATTACTGTTTTTAATTATTAAAATTTTATTTTTATTTTTATTATATTATTATATATAATATTTAAAGTATTTTTTAACTATTTTTTAATTACTTATAAATAATAGATTTTTTTAATATAATTAAATTTTTTTAGAGAAAGATAAGTTAGTCTAGATAATAAATTAAATATTTATATATTAAATATTTAATGAATATTTAATAATTAATTATTTTTCTAGAATATATTATATTTAATTTTTTTAATTTGAATAAAATTATCTTTTTTAATTACTTAGTATATTAAATATATTAATAATTTTTTTAAGTATTTAAAAACTAAGCTGAGTAAATATATATATATAATTTTTTTATGTAAATTTTTAAATATTTCTTAAATATTTAAGAATTATTTATTAATTATTTAATAAATTCAATATAATAAATATTAGATAAGCAGCTTAAAGTAATCAGTTTTTTATTTTTTTTAATATTATATAAAAAAATAATCTTGAAAATATTCTGATATTTTTTAATATAAATTTATTAATTAATCTTTTTTATTATATTATTATATCTCTGTTAATAAAGACTTTTAGAATTTTTTTTAAAATATTTATAAAAATATAACTATTTTAAAGACTAATATTTAAAAAGAATATTTATAAATAAATATTTATAAATTATTTTGAAAGTATTTTTAGAGTACTTGCTAATTATTTTAAATTATTTTTAAATATAATATATTTTCTTTTAGAAAATAAATCTTTATATAAAAATATTTTTAATTTATAAACTAATATTTAAATATTTTATATAATTAATAAATCCATTATTAAACTATTTTTGAATTATTTTTAAAATACTTATTAAATAATTTAAAACTTATATAAAAATTATACACTTTATATTATTTATATTTATAAATTTAAAGTCTTTATAAATAAATATTAAAAGATTTTAATTCAAAATTATATAATTTTTAATTTTATTTTTTTTAAATAATTTTTTAATAATAATATCTTATTATTTTTAAAAAAAGTATAATATTTTTGAATTATTTTTATTATAATAATAATTCTATAATAAATATTTTCTAAGTATTTTTTGAATATTTATTAATTATTTATAAATTACTTATAAACAAATAATATATTTAAAAATTAAGATTTTTAATTTATATTAATGATAATATTATTTTTTCTGCTTTAATTTCTAAGTAGAGTGGCTAACAGCCAGGTCAGGTTAGAGTGGCTTAACCTGACCGTTATACCTTAACCTTAATCTGGCCATAATCTGACAGTTAGATTAAGATATAAAAAAATTTTAATTATATAGTTAAAATTAGATTAAGATATAATTATTATTATAATTATTTATATCTGCTGATTAGAAAAATTAGATATAGCAGATAGATTAATAACCGCAGATTAATTTATAATATATATATTCTTTTTATATAAATAATATACAAAGTATAATATATATTTAATTATAATATAACTATAATAATATTCTTTAGATATAGCCTATTACTTAATCTGCTTAATTAATTATTTTAAAAAATATATTATATTCTAAAAAAGACTTTTACAGAATCTAATATAAAAAAAATAAAAAAAAATATAAAATATTTATTTTTTATATTATCCAGAATAATAATTATAATAATATAAAAATTATAAAAATTAGATCTTTATTTTTATTTGAGTATATATAATAATTAAAGACTTAGATAAGACTAATTTTTTAATTTTAATAATAATCTATTCTCTAAATTATCTTTAAGATTATTTATATTCTTATTTTTATTAATATAAAAAATAGTAATTATCTTATTCTTCTCTTGCTTTTTAGATATAAAGATAATTAAATCTAAATTAATATTATTAAATATATTTTAATATTTCTTATTTATAATAAAATAATTAATATATATTTAAAGTATAATTATTTTAATTATATTAAAATCAAGACAGCTCTAGTAATAATAGCAGATATTTTAAGAATTATTAAAAAAATATTTAATATTAATATTATTAATTATAACTAAGAGAAAATCTCTAGCTATCTAATAGAGAATAAAAAATTAATTATAATAAAATTTTAATAAATAAAAATATTAATATACTCTGTAGTACCTGAAATTATATTAATTTAATTAAAAATATTTTAAAAAGTTATATATTTTTAATATTTAGATATATCTTAAATTCTTTATATATCTTAATTATAGATAAGAGTCTCTGATATTTAAAAATATTATAAAAAATCTTATTTAGATCTGATAATAATTTAAAGACTATTAATAATATATTAATTATTAGATTTTAATTAAAATAAAAAAAAATATCTTCTTAAAAATAGTTTAATATTTATAATATTAATTAATATTATTATTTAGTTATATATCTTTTTTAAATTTCTTGAGTTTTAATATTAGATTTAAAATAATTATAATTATATAGATATAATCTTCTGTCTAATAAATATAATAATAATATTTTTAAAACTTTTAATATATATTATATAAATTTTTAAAAATCTTCTTTTTTTAGAGTATCTATTTTTTTTAATTTATTCATTAAGTAATCCAGATAATTAAAGAGATTATTATAAATATTATAAATCTTATAAATAATAGGCCTATTATTCTCAGAAAGATAGAAAATAAAAAAAAAAAATATAAAAACTTAAAGAAATATTCTATCTATTTTTATTTAATTATAATAAAATAAAGATAATTAATATTATTATACTTATAATATTAAATAAAACTTTTAATTATTTAATAAAGATTAAATATTTAATAAATTATAAGATAAATTAAGTTCCAGCAGATTTTATAATAAAAAAAAAAATAATAAACTAAACTAGATTTAAATTATTAAATAAATAAAAATTTCTTATAATATTAAAAACTTATATTTATAAATTATATAATCTTCTAAATCTATAATTAAGAATTAATATAATAAACTAGCTAATAAAAGATTTCTAAAAGCTTTTTATAAAAAAAAATTCTATATTAATCTTTTATAGATAATTTCTAGAATATATTTTTTTAAAAATTTTTAAAATATTAAAAGAGACTTTAAGACTTTTATTATTATTTTTTTATATATATTTAATAATATTATTTAAAATCTTAATCCAAAGTTTCTGTAGAAAAATATTAATTATAAGCTAAATTATATAAATAAGACAGAGAATATAATACTAGCTTTAAATAATTTTTAAAAAATTAAAATTAACTAGAATATTATAAAACTAAATACTCTAACTAAATTAAGTTTGAAATTCAGCTAAGATTATACTAAATATTATATTATTATTACTAATATTATTAATTATTATATTTAATAATTAATAAATAAGATTATATTTATATAAAACTAATAAAATAATTATAGCTAGATTTTTATTAGTATAAAATTTAGATATTAATTAAAAGTCTAGTAAAATCTTATAATAATTTATATTTTTTATTAAGAAATATTTAATTAAACTAAGAAATACTTTTTAATTAAAGCTGATTTAATAGTTTATTATAATTAATATTTATCTAATATTCAGAAATTTTAATAGCAGTTATATATATATTTTTTTAAACAGTTTTATAAGATATTTTTTAATTTATATTTAATTAAAAAAACTTAGTTTTTGGCAGAAAGATAAAGCAGCAAGATTAATTATTTATTTAAATTAAATATATTTAATAATTTAAAATAATAAATAATAAATAATTATAAAATATAAAACTTAATTCTAAAGATTCTATTTATTATAGATTATAAAGATCTAAAGAAAAATAATAATTAAAAAAGATTTATTTTAAAAAAATAAATAAATATTTATAATAATTCTTTATTTAGTATCTGACTAATTATTTATTTAGATATAATTAATAATAATTTTTTCTTATAATTCTTATAGAGATAATAACTTATAAAGCTAGTTTTTAAGTTTTTAATTCTTAAATATTATAAGATATAAAAATATATAATATAATAGATATAAAAAATTTTATTAGAAAATAATATATTTTTCTAAAAATTATTTTATATTATTAATAACTTTTTTTAATTAAAGTAAAATAATAATTTTTTAGTTTATATATAATTTTTAGAAAAGATTATTTTTTGCTACTAATTCTAAAAAATAAAGAGCTTTTTTTAAAAAGCTGAATATAAAATAATCTTTTAATTTTTTATAATATATATAATCTTAAGATTTAAAAAAAAAGAAAAAATCTGACTTAAAAAACTTATCTTAATTTAAATATTATTATAATTTATAAAAATCTGAGAAACAAAAGAAGAAGACTTGATAATATTTTTTAAAAATAAATTAAATAATTATAATTAACTTATAATTCTGAAGCTATTTTATAAATAATAAATATAAAAAAATAAAAACAGAAAACTATGCAAAGACAGTTTATTTTATTTTAAAATATAATTTTATATAAATATAATCTATTATATTTTAATATATAGCTAAGATATTTGCTATATTTTATTTATTTTAATAAATCTAATAAATAGAAATTTATATCTAAAATCTAGAATTATAAAATAATTTCTTTTTTTAAATAAAACTACTTAAGATATAATAGATTAAAATAGAAAATAGATATTTATAAAAAAATTTATAAAAAACTTTTATAGAATCTTTTATAAAAGCTATAATATTATAATATAAATTTAGTATATTCTATTTATCTATTTTATTTATTTAATTTATTTAATTTATTTAATCTATTTAATTTATTTAATCTATTTTATTTTAATAATCTAATTATTTATAATCTTCTTAACTATTTGCTAGTTTCTGATTTTATTAATAGCTCTTTAAGCTATATTTTATTTATAAATCTAAGAATAGTCTGATTTAGAAAAAATAATAAAATAAAAATAGTA